TCCGGGCGTTCGTACACGCCTTGGGCGCCAATCTTGGGCGTTCGACAATTCAAAAAAAAAAAAAATAATAAAAAAAAAAAAAATTGCACTGGACGCCCAACTCGGGCGCCCAAATGCAGCTTGCACGCCCAACTTGGGCGTGCACTGCATAAATGGGCGCCCAAATTGGGCTTTTAGGCGTTTTGGGGGGGGTTTTTTGATTTTTTTAGAAAGTTTTGGGGTTTTAGTGAAATAAAGTATTTTTTTGGGGGGTTTTGTCAAAAACCGCAATTAGCAATTTTCAAACCGCAAAAAGCAATTCCCTTTTAATAATTTAAACCCCTAAATATTCTACCCTCTCTGCTTGATCATATACCCATAAATAAAATATGTATTGTGCTTTGACCAACTCCTAGGAAACAAATGACAACTGCCATGTACAACTTTATTAATTTAGCTGCACATGTATCAATTCCCCACTACACCGTTTCAGATGGTTGACTCATGAATGGTTCGTTAGAGTAGTAGAGTTATGTCTTATGCCCACAAGAAATCAACTTGAAAGGATCAATCATCTTAAATTCGTTGTAAATAATTAAAACAGAGTGAAAACACATAATTTAATAACCATAAGTAAATACTTGTAAACATTAGTGTAGCTAGGATTTGAAGTTCTCCGGAGCCGAGCCGAATGCATTAAAAAACTTATGAGGGGGCTAATAATACTTTTATAAATTTTTTTTCTTTTAATCTATATAAAATAATAGGAATTTGAGAAATATTGGGGGCATATATCGCCCCCTTAACCCTATGTGGGCTGCCCTCAAAGGCGAAATATACTTACATAAATAGTATTACAAGAATACCAAAAAAAAAAAGGAATTAACGATCTTCCCTATTACGAAGGTATCTTATAACACGGATCTTTCGTACAATCAAGTTTACCCTTTTCAATACATACAAACTATCAAATCTTTAGACGTACAAACTATGTACTCAAGAAGAGTACTTACAACGTACTCTAAAAGATATGAATAAATAACTCAAAATTATTTTTCTTCTTCTCTCCAAATTAATACTCTCAGTTACGGGTGGTAAACAAGCCGAGCCGATTCGTGAGCTCGATGAGCCGGCTCGAGAAAAGCTCGAACTCAACAATTTGCACTCTAATTCAATATTGTACTTTTGGACGACATTGATTCTTGTGCTTCTTGGTGTTCACAGTGTTGTGTAGGTAAACATACGAAAATGGAGGAATAATAGCTGAAATATACAAGTTAGAAAGCAAAACCAGCATTTGAACTCTCATCTCATGTATTACAAATATTATGTTACAAAACATATTCCACTTTGATGGAAAGAACAAAGGAACCAGAACATAAATTAATGAATCAAATTTTAACAACATACGGTACCATGAAAATGTAAGGAGAAGGGTAATCAAAGTTAATTTGAAAAAAATGAATACGACCGTCACGCAAGGATTGAATCTTATAATGATAAAAATATATTTAGAAATTAAGCATGCATGATTAGCAATCAGTTGACGAGGCGGCAGTTTTCTCGGATCTCGCCCTGGGTGCCGGTGAGCACGTCAATCTTGCCCATTTTGACCATTGCAGCGGCGAACTTCTTAGCCCATGCAGGACTGTTCTGAGCATTTTTCAGTACAATTTTGGAGGTCAAAGTGCTTGTCATAAGTACCTGATCCGACGTAAGAAGTCCCTTTTTCTGCTTCAACAGCTCGTAGTACAAATTGTCCAAACGTTTCGGAGTTATGACATCCTGATTCACCGTAGGGTTCACACTTGGTGGACCTGTGGCATTGGCAACTGGCGCCGGGCAGATATTTCTCAAGAAAACGGCGTAGTTAGGGTCGAGAGTGGGGTCCACGGTCGGGTATAGACGTCCGTTGAAGGAGGTGCAGTGAGCAATTCCAATGGAGTGAGCCCCTGAGAGTGTCACCATTTCGTCGAGTGTGAGACCCTTTCTTGCAAAATTGTCCCTGAGTTGAGTGGCGTTGAAGAAAGGTGGGGGAAGATTGAGAAGTGGGTCGAGTGTGTTGGACTCGTTTCCATCACGGCGTCCAGCGGGTACTTCGTAGAATATGTCACCAACTCTCCATGAGCTGTCTCTTGCGGCAAATGCGAGAATGTCGGCACAAGAAACGATTCCAGGGCATCGAATCTCCAATTCAGCTTTTGCTGCGTCGATTATCTCAAAACCTCTCAAGCTTCCTCGGTTTGGTATACTTTGCTTTTCCGAGTTTGCTCCATCCAACAACACAGAAGCATCACATCCCTGTAATATGAGTATGTAGAACAAAAGCAATTAATTCTTAGTAGATATAGTGTTGATACTCAATTAGGTCATCAACATGAATATATATATATATAGTTAGTGCGGGTGTATGTATATATATATATATATATATATATATATATACGATTACAAAGATGCATGATGAATACATATTATAATAAATATGTACGGCGCTCATACCCTGACGAAGCAGTCGTGGAAATGAAGCCTGATAAGGCCGGCGGCAAATCCAGGGTTGCGGAAGACGAATTTGTTGACGTATTTTTGGACAATGGCTTCTGCGGGTGGGCATGATTTTCTGTAGAAGCCAACTTTGAGGCCGGCTGTTGAATTAGCCGCAGAAGAAACAGAAACAAGGAAAACCAAGCAAGACAAGAACAATAATGCAATGACTGCCTTGTTGGTGGAAGCCATAATTGTTGTATTAATGTTAAGTGCAAAGTTAAATTGGATGTGGATGCCATGGATGGATAGTTTATGGGATTATTTATAGAACACTACTGAATAACTGTTAAATGTTTGTTTAATTCCAATGGAATTGTTAAATCCAGGACGTGTGTACATGTCATGAACTTGTAATTTTATGCAGTCGTAAAAGTATTGATGAATTTCATTTATATACTTAATTTATACAGTGATCCATTTCCCCGATCTAGCTGGCATAGATATATCACTATTTGATATTCTCTTCGTGCGGCCGGTAGCCGGTAGGTAGAGACATGATCAAGGTTCAGCTGGTTGGTATGGTCTGGAATATTCTTGTGGTTAACGTAAGTGTTGCTGGTTAATTAATACTTAATCCCGTTCAACCGTCAAAGATTATTAATCAAAAAATTAAAATTAATGTGGACCAAGTTCTCAATTTTAACAAATCGGAACCGGAACCGGAACCAATTTCTAGCGAGAGGATTGACCAATAATATTTTGGAACTTCGTGTATAATTAATCCCACCATCCACTAATATTGTACTCAGTACACACCCCCTTGCACACACACACATATATATGTATGTGGGTGTTCTGTGTGGTTTTGTATGTAAATTTATGGTGCACGATAACATGCATATATATTGTGTTTCACAAGGTGTAGGATATCAAAAGCCCAATATAGTAACTCTAACCCTAACTGTCATAGGGTAGTGAATTTCCTTGTCGCATAAGTAGCGACATGTACGAATGCTACAACAACTGCTCCGTTGTCTCCAACGTAATCCCGGTGAAATTGAATTCTTTGTGAAGATCGCGGCGTACCAACGACTATACGGTGAGACCTCGTGCACCTTAACTGTAGCTCAATAGTGATAACATTGATTGAATGTGTAGGATGGGTGGGATCGGAGGTGGTGACACACATCGACCAATCCTTAAAAATCACTATTATATTTCGTCTAATATTGATGCCTAACCGAGGGGGTGACTTGTTTGTTCTTTCCGAACTAAAATATAAAAGTTAGGTTATAAATCTCGAGATGTCGACTCATTTTCCGCCCCAGTTGAGATGAGTGTTAAGTATATATTTTTATACTTTATTGTACCTTTTTATTTGAGCTTTTGGTGTGATTTAACGATAATTGGTGCTTAAAAAGTTGATTTATTGTATTTTAGGTATAAATTGAAGAATTGGAAAAGTTTGGGGTCAAAACTGCAAATTTGGAGAAAATATGCGCCAAAAGTGAAATAATCAAAAATATGCTGAAATTGGCTGAAAACAGGCCCGCACGGCCGTGCCAAAATTAGCCTATTTTTGGCACGGCCGTGCCAAATGCTGAATTTGGGCAGAAGGATGAGTGTGTCAATTGCATGTGGTGTCGTAGACATACAGATATCACCTTAGGTAGCCATTTACGAGACTTGTTAGTTAATGCTTTATTTATAATTGGTTTGCATAGACATATAGTGAATCGTTTATGAATAATAGACTCATATTACACGCGACAGCGGGTTATGAGTAAATTAGTGTCTCGGGTTAATAATCATGAATCATATATTTCATAATTGAGGGGTTTTGGGTGAGCAATTCTTGCATAGGGGGAAGATAAAATCCTAGGTCCGTTTTTATTGATATCTTCTCGTGTTTATTTGCTTTCTTAATTAGTATAATTGTTTAGTTGATTTAATTTGACAACTTTGCGTAGGCTGGATAAAAATCATAATTGTTAGAATTTGGTACTTAGGATTAGATAATTTGAGTATTCCCTGTGGGATCGACATCCGACTCTCACGAGTCCACTTTTACTACTTGTTTGCGATACGTGCACTTGCGTGTTATGTATTTAGCACCCAACAATGAGGAATTTGTAACGGCTCATTTAGACTTCCGGGATCTCCATCTTTCTGAATCGAGACCCAGCCTTGGGGCCGTCTGGCTCATTCCAATTAACAATAATGATAGTAATTAGATAGTAGGGTTTGAATTAGTTCTATGGTTCCAAATGATAAACCAATAAGAATATATATAATAGATCTATATGTCCAATTGAACTACGAGCTAGAAGACTTTTGACTTTCTCGTTTGAACTATGAACTAGACATTAGTATTTGATCATGTCCAATACGATGATACTTGCACGGAACTTGTCAAATAATATATTTAAGCATCTCCTGTTTGAAAGTTTCATCACAAAAGAATTTAAAAAAATATATATTAAAATATAATTCTCCAATGTGGTCAAACAAATTAAGCCACAACTTGCTAATCCAATTGAAAGGTACAGGAATTGGAAAACAATTCTGAGAGAATGAAAGGGTAACGTGTAAAAGTTTATTCGTCGATAGAAATAGTGTGATAAAGTCAGACAAAAACTGCTCATCATCATCAAGAAACCTTCAGACCCTAATAACTTATTTTAATTAATTAATTAATTAATACTAATCCAGACAGCTGACTGTAGCTACACACGGTTTTGTGTTATATGATATAATTGAATTAACTAATGCATACCAACTATTACGTACTTCTTCAAACATTTTCATCTATTTAAATAAGTGCACTCCAAATCTTCTTCACTACAGTAATCATAAAACATTTCAAGCTAATTAAATCATTAACGAAAATAAAATGATGAAGCACTCCAAGTTTGCAGTAGCACTTGTGGTGCTGTTGAGCCTCCAGATTTTGAGCAGCGCCGTGGCTAAATCTAAATCACCCCAGAAACTCAAGGTCGGATTTTACGCATATAAATGCCCACACGCCGAAATCATTGTCCGCAAAGCCGTCAACAAAGCCGTGTCACTCAATCCCGGTTTAGCCGCCGGCATAATCAGGCTGCACTTCCACGACTGCTTCGTCAGGGTATGTATTCATTATTTCATTCAATCATTACCCCTGTTTTATATCTATTTACTAAAAAACTTCCCATGTTATAAATATGTTAGCAAATATTCCCCTATATATGATTTTTTTGCTTTACCACGCAATCCTTAAATGGTGAGTTTTTAGGGGTACTTTAATGAGTTAAAGAAAATGTATAATAAGTGTTTTTCTGCTAGTATTTTTAACAAGGGGGGTGCTGAATGCAACATTAATTTGATGATAATATTTTATATAAATATTTATCCAGGGCTGTGACGGTTCGCTGTTGTTGGACACCGTGGCTGGGAAGCCAGCGGCCGAGAAAGAAAACGTGGCAAATTTCCCAAGCCTACGTGGCTTTGAGGTAATCGACCAAGCCAAAGCCGATATCGAAGCTGTCTGCCCCGGCACCGTTTCATGTGCGGACATTCTAGCATTCGCCGCTCGAGACAGCTCACTCAAAGCCGGATACATCGGCTACGAAGTCCCCTCTGGGCGAAGAGACGGCCGTGTTTCTCTCAGTTCAGAAGTGCTCCAAAACCTACCACCACCGTTCTTCTCGGCAGCCGAACTCAAGGAAAACTTCAAGAGAAAGGGGCTCTCGCTCGACGAGATGGTCACACTTTCCGGCGCACACTCCATCGGTGTTTCTCACTGCTCCGCCTTTTCCAACAGGCTCTCTGGGTTCAACGCCACCTTCGATAAAGACCCTTCTTTGGACTCTGGTTATGCTGCTTTTCTTAAAACTAAGTGCCCAGTTCCGGCGAACGGCGATCCTGCGGTGAACAATGATTTTCAGACTCCGACGGTGCTGGACAACAAGTACTATGTTAATTTGAAGAATCACAAGGGGCTTCTAACCTCGGACCAGACACTTTTCGACAGTCCGCTGACGAAGAATCTGGTGTTGAACAATGTTAAGTACGGGTCGGTTTGGGCTAAGAAGTTTGCTGCTGCAATGGTGCATATGGGTTCCATTGAAGTGCTCACTGGGAAACAGGGCGAGATCAGGAAAAACTGCCGTTTGGTTAACTGATTAATTCTTGTTTTCACTTTCAATATTGGGTTTGTGTGTTCTTTTAATTGTTTTGCCTGACTGCCTGTGTGCATTTTTTTTGAAGTGTGAATAATTAGATAAAGGAACAATAAGAAGATTGCATCATGCATGATGTAATATTGTATAGTGATCGAAACATTAGGTTTTGTAATAAGTTTGATTTATTCAAATAATGTTTCGTTAGGTTGTACTGTAGCTTGTTTCAACTTTTTGTTTTGATTCTATTTTTTCATTTGTCTCAAATGTGAAGTATCTTCCGGGTGTCCCAGTTGTTTGAACTAAACAAATTAAACATGCTCTGATGTCAGTCTGTTAGAATTTAAGAAGAATTGTGTTGGAAAATTAAAGAGAAGATGAATATGAACAATCTTTTATTTATTAACAATAACAATTCCTTAATTTATGATCAAATTACATGAGCTGATGGTGAGGAAATATAAATATGAAGAGTCATTCTGGGATTTAAAGTTGAACACAAATTTCCAAGATCCAATCGGAATTAATTTGTAATTGTAGATATTATTTTCTCATGGTATTAACCCCAACAGTATTGACAAGACGGCAATTTAGCCTGACCTCGCCTTGGTTGCCGGTGAGAACATCAATGTTGCCCATCTTGACCATGGCAGCGCCAAACTTGTCTGCCCAAACAAGACCAAACTGAATATTGTTGAGCACAATATTGGAAGTCAAAGGGCTTGTCATAAGATCCTGATCCGACTTAAAAAGCCCCTTTTTCTGTTTCAATCCCAAGTAGTATAAATTGTCCAAGCGATTTGGAGTGATCGTATCCTGATCGACTGTGGGGTTCACTTTCGGTGGACCGGTCGCATTAGCAACAGGCGCTTTGCATATCTTTCTCAACTTAGCAGCGTACTTGGGGTCCAGAGTGGGGTCCACTGTCGGGTATAGACGGCCTAAAAAGGAAGTGCAATGAGCAATTCCGATGGAGTGGGCCCCTGAAAGCGTCACCATTTCGTCGAGCGAGAGACCCTTTCTGGCAAAATTGTCTCTGAGAGAAGTGGCGTCGAAGAAAGGTGGGGGAAGATTTAAAAGTGGGTCAAGTGTGTTGGAAACATTTCCGTCACGGCGTCCAGCGGGGACTTCGTAGTAAATGTTGCCAACTCTCGAGGCGCTGTCTCTGGCTGAGAATGCAAGAATGTCTGCACATGACACGATTCCAGGGCATTTCAGCTCTAGTTCGGCTTTTGCTGCGTCTATTATTTCGAAACCTCTTAGGCTTCCCTTGTTTGGTATACTTTGCTTTTCCGAGTTGTTTCCATCCAACAATACAGAAGCATCACAACCCTGTAATGTAATTAAAACCACATATAGATAGATCGATATGGGAATTATATTAAACAAAAAGAAGATTATAATATCTAAATTAAACGAATTATATAATATATACCCTGACGAAGCAATCGTGGAAGTGCATCCTGATAAGGCCAGCAGCAAAACCAGGGTTTAAAGTGACGAATCTTTCGACGTATTTTCGGACAGTGATTTCCGCAATGGGACAAGAGTTTTTGTAGAAGCCAACTACAAGGCCCGGGGTTGAATTATCAGCGGCTGAAACAAACAAAATGAAGCAAGAGATCAGAAGCAACCGCCCATTAATTATCATGGCTTCTTGTGAATGCAGTCGTCTAGCTGCTATTGTAGCTACAGATAGATATATATATATATATAGAGAGAGATAAAGTGTTAATTAGTGGATGCCATTGATAGATATATATATATATAGTTTAGGGAACTAGGTATTTATATAGATAGGGTTGTATATATTTCATCTTTGTTGTTGTGGATTATATTTATTAAACCCAGGACGTGTGCACATGTTAGCAACTCGCAGTTTAATTACAAGTTAATACACTACATTTAATGAGTTCATTATACACACTATGCATTTTATACAGTACTGCTCCATTATATTTTCCCAACCTAATTATATAATATAATATAATACTATCTCAACTTGTCTTAGCTTCCTAGAGTAGGCACACATAACAAATTAAAGTCCAGCCGAGAGAAATGGTATTAGTGATACCCTACGAATTTTTTTGGGAATATTTCTTGAAGAGAGATTTAGTAATTACCATCTATACCTATTATATATGTTGTTAAAAAGTAAAAAAATTCAACGTAATTTGATTTTGTTGATATAAAATCTTGTGCATCGTATATCAAATCTTAGCGATTCAAAAGAAATTCTGAAAATCCCATGAACGAAAAGGAAATTAAATATACATTGATTACATACTTTATGGGATTAAAGAAAAATAATATAACATGCCTTGCTCGTGTAATTTTCACAAATTCACACTATCTCGAAAGCTGGATTTCGTAATCGAAATCAGACATGTATAAATATAGGAGAACCAAATAGAAAGACAAACACAAGACAATACATATATATATTGAATTGAATATAATGGCATTGTCAGCAGATGAAGAAGAAAAAGGGTGCGATAAATTAAAGGGACATGTGTCGCTACCAAAAGAGTTGATAGAGAAGATGAAGGATGTTAAGAGTTGGGAGGAGTGGCCATGTCGATGGACCTTGGACGAGGAAGCCATCACCTTCGCATGCTTATGGCCGATGAATACCGATAATGATCATCATTTTAACCGCCTTGCTAATCATGATCATAAAGTTATTGTTAACCAATTAATAGATCATCAATTGGGTTCACAAGAGATTATCAAACTACTAGATCAATAGATATTATATTAAAATCTCAATATAGTTAATGTATGTTCATATATATGAAACTATATATATATATATTTTGCCTAGCTATAGCTAATTATAAATTATTTGGGGATTTGGCTACACGACATGTATATATTTGTTTCATGAGTTGTGTATATATCCAGATGTCGTGGGAATTAATCATTATATTACATCTACAATATTGGCCATAAGTAAGTTCGATATGATATGATCTATCTAGCTCATGAAAGTGTTAAGTGCAAATGTGTAGGGTATCAAATCACCAAGCTCCATTCAAGCCTGCTATAGATATATATGAATCCCTCTTGGCAGTATTGATTACAGCCAAGAAGAATAGATATATGTATATATAGGTATGTATAAGATACAGAAACAGGAATGACAAGTATGAGTAAATTGAAAGATAAAAATAGATTGAGATTTTCAGCTCAGTCTTCCAATCTCACACCAGAGATTCACAGTTCCCAATTATACACCACCAGAGCACCTCAAGGAGAACAGATCTCCTTTCTCTCTCACAACACTCAAACCCTAAAATACCCAGAAAACCACGAAGGAAGAACAGATCAAGCACTCAAGCTAACCCACTCACCAAAACCCCAATTTCTGAACTCACAAAGAAGAAAAACGAAGGGATTTAGGTCTGACTAGGGTTTTCTGTGTCTTACCCTCTTCCAGCCTCCATGCCAACATATATAGGGACTGAAGTCAAAGATAGCCGGTGAAGGCTGTACCGGAGGGTCAAAGTCAGCACTGTACCGTGCACTTTGACCTCCAGCCATAACTCAGTCAAGGCAGTACAAGGGAGGAAGAAGACAGACAAAGGAGCGGCGAAGAAGAGAGGGTAAGAGTTAGGGTTTCAGAGTGAGAGAAACGAAGAGAGAGAAAATGCTATTTAAGTGAGTCAATGAACGGTCCAGATTGAGCCTAAAATCCAACGGATGGATTTGGTTCACAAATGGGTTGGGCTCACTCATAAATGCCTTGGGCTTAACTCAATGGTGGTGTATAAGTGATGGCAATTGGGCTTTATGGCCCAGAACATATTTGGGCCAAAATCCAACAATTCTCCACCTTGGACCAAATGTGAATCATTAGTGAAAATTTTATAAAAAATTTTTGGAAGTCATCATTGCTGATTTTTGACACACCAGTAAGAGCACACAGTTCATACAAGTATATCAAGTTGAATTCACTCAGAATACAACTTATCTGCACTTTAAAATAAATGCAGTAAAGCAATCACACAGACAGCACAATCTTAGTCACACAGAAAAAAAATTTAAACAAGCAATCACAAAGAAAGCATAAATACCAAGTCACACAGACTACAAACTAGCACACAGCAAGTCAAGGTTTGGAAAGAATGTTCAAGTTTTGCAAACAAGAACAGAATTTTTCAGAAGGCAGACATTTAGTTCCCATGTCAGCTGGATTGAACTCAGATGGGATTTTTTCAAGGTCAATAATCCCTTTTTCAACCACATCCCTAATGAAATGGAACTTCACATCAATGTGTTTAGTTCTATCATGAAAAACAGGATTTTTACACAGTTGAATGCCAGATTGACTATCAGAAAATACTACCACTTTGGAATTAAGCATATCAACTTCCAACAACAGCCCTTTAAGCCAAATGGCTTCTTTAATAGCCTCAGTAGCAGCTATATATTCAGATTCAGTAGTAGACAGAGCAACAATGTGTTGGAGTTGAGATTTCCAACTAACACAAGCACCATTTAAGGTGAACACATAGGAGGTAGAAGATTTTCTATTGTCCCTATCATTGGCAAAGTTTGAATCCACATAACCACAGAGTTCAATTTCAGTTTTGCCTTTTGAAAACATCAAGCCAGTTTTAACAGTACCTTTCAAATATCTAAGCAGCCATTTTAGAGCCTCCCAGTGAGGCAAACCTGGATTAGACATATATCTACTCAAGCAACTCACAGAATATGCAATGTCAGGCCTAGTACTAACCATCAAGTACATAACAGAGCCAATGGCATTGGCATAAGGCACATTTTTCATTTCAGAGATTTCAGGCTCAGTCTTGGGAGACTGATCCTTACTTAGCAAAAAATGAGGAGCAAGAGGAACAGACACAGGTTTGGCAGACAACATAGAAATTTTTTCAAGGATTTTCTCAATATAGGAGGATTGATTCAGAAACAGAGTACAGCCAGTCCTATCTCTAATTATGTCCATGCCAAGAATTCTTTTTGCATCACCAAGAAGTTTCATGTCAAACTCATCACTAAGGCATTTAATCACATGATTAACAGTTTGAATGCAAGGACTAGCAAGAAGCATGTCATCCACATAGATAAGCAAGAACACAGGAATTTTAGCAGATTCTTTAAAGTACAAGCAAGGATCATAAGAACTCCTTTTAAATTTTAAAGACATCATGCATGCATCAAATTTCTTGTTCCACTGCCTAGGTGACTGTTTCAGTCCATACAAAGATTTCTTAAGGAGGCACACATAATCAGGATGTTTTTTATCAACAAAACCCTCAGGCTGGCACATATAAATTTGCTCATCTAGATCACCATGCAAAAAAACAGTTTTCACATCCATTTGTTTTAATTCCCAGTTAAAGTGAGTAATTAAAGCAAGCATGATTCTAACAGTGGTGAATTTCACAACATGAGCAAATATTTCAGTGTAATCAATACCTTCCTTTTGGGTAAACCCCTTAGCCACTAGCCTAGCTTTATATCTAACAGAGTCAGATTCATGTTTAACCTTAAACAACCACTTACAGTCCACTAAAGAGCATGCAGGAGGTTTAGGTACAAGAATCCAAGTATGGTTAACATGTAAGGACTTCATTTCATCATTCATAGCATTTAACCATTCAACAGACTCATCAGAATTCAAAGCTTCCCTATAAGACTTAGGTTCATTACCATCTAGAGAATCAAACACATGAAACACATGAGAAGCAAGTTGATAATCATTCAAATGAGGGGGCCTAACAATGTTTCTTCTATCTCTGTCCCTAGCAAGTTGATAATCACTAAGATCATTCACAGAGGGAACATCAAGATTAGCATTTTGATCAAAAACAGTGTTTTCAGGCATCTCATTATTAACAACTTCATCATCAGAGTTTTCATTTTCAGTTTGAACAGAATTAACAGGTGGAATCTCCACCTCAGATGAAGTGGTATCAGGTGAAACAATAGTAGGAGCAGATAAGCATGGAAATTCATTTTCATTAAACACAACATTCCTGCTAATCACAGTTTTAAAACCCTGATCACCATACAACCAACATCTATACCCCTTAACCCCTTCAGGGTATCCTAAGAAAACACATTTCACAGATCTGGGGTCAAGTTTATCAAGTTTTTGATGAACAAACACAGTACAACCAAAAACTTTCAAATTTGATAAATCAACAGGTTTACCACACCATTTAGATTCAGGCAATTCCCCATTTAAGGGCACAGAAGGAGACCTATTTATCAAATAAGCAGCAGTAAGAACAGCTTCACCCCAAAAAGGTTTTTTCAAGCCAGAAGAATTTAGCATAGACCTAACTCTATCAAGCAAAGTTCTATTCATTCTTTCTGCAATACCATTTTGTTGGGGTGTGTACACAACAGTTTTATGTCTCTTAATGCCAGATTCAGAACACAGAGTATCAAATTCAGCATTACAGAATTCAGTTCCATTATCAGTTCTCAAAGTTTTGATTTTCTTCCCAGTTTGGTTTTCAATCAAGATTTTCCAATTTTTAAATCTTTCACACACATCAGATTTATTCTTGAGTAAAAACACAAACACTTTTCTAGAAAAATCATCCACAATAGACAGAAAATATCTATTACCACCATGAGAAGGAACTGGGGCAGGGCCCCACACATCAGCATGCACATATTCAAGTATATCTGAACATTTAGAAGAATTGGGGAATGGAGAAACAGGAAATTTAACTTTGGTTTGTTTTCCCAAAATGCATGAGTCACATATAGGCAAATTGGTCACACAATCATCACTCAGATAATTATTCTTATGCAGAATTTCAAGACCTTTACCACTTATATGACCTAACCTCTTATGCCAAAGAATAGACATGTCATGATTAACAGTGTTGGCATGCAAAACAGGTTCAGCAGAACACACATAGAGATTTTGCATTCTAACAGCTTTGAAAACAAATTTATCATGCATCATGATTCTTTGACAACCATCTCCCCAATTACCATGCAGACCACTATCTTCAAGAATAGCAACAGACAAAAGATTACTGCTAAGTTGAGGAACATGCCTAACATTCTTAAGAATTAATTCAAAACCAGATTCAAATTTTAGGCAGATTGTTCCAATTCCAACTACAGTTCTTTCACTGTTATCAGCCATAGACACATTTCCATTTTCAAGTTTCACATAAGAAGAAAACAGATGTCTATGAGGTGTCATATGATGGGTGCATGCAGAGTCAAAAATCCAATCATTGTCACATAGAGAGGAGATCACAGAGTTCACATAATCATGCATTACATCACCAACCATAAACACATCACCAAGGTTATCAGTCACAACATTAGCATGTTCATTGGTTCTTTCCTTTTTAGGCTCAGAACACTCATTAGCATAATGACCATTTTTACCACAGTTATAACACTTTCTGCCTTTGGCTTTAAACTTATTCCACCCCTTGCCCTTTTTAGGTTTTTGTAAAGACTGGTTTTGGTTACTAGAGGAAGCCTTATTTTGAAATCTATTTTGAAAATTGTTTTGAAACTGATTTTTAGGCTTCCCTTTCACAAAGTTGACTTCACCAAAAGATTTACTACCCTTGGTAGCTTTTAAATCCAGTTCTTTGCTTTTTAAACCATTTATCACAGTGTCCAAAGAAACCTTATCTCTGCCATACTTAATGGCTGATTTTACATCACTGTAAGTATCAGGGATAGCATTTAGCAAAACAATAGGAGAATAATCATCAATATTTTTGTCTCCAGTCAGTTTAATATCCTGAACCAATTTTGTAAAAACATCAAGGTTTTCATCAATGTCTTTGTTTAAATCCAGTTTGAACCTAAAGAATTTTTCCAACAAAAACATTTTGGAGGGCAAGGAGGTTTCAGTATAAAGTTCTTCCAATTTATCCCACAAGACTTTAGCATTATCTTGTTTTCCTAGTTTTCTAATCACAGAGTCACTTAGGTTCAAGATAATCAAAGAATAGGCAAGTTCATCAAATTCTGCCTTTTTGGCAGCAGTAGTGTTATCATCATATGCTAATGTAACAGCTTTAAAACATTTTTGTTGCACTAAAACACCTTTTATTTTCTGTTGCCAAATAGGAAAATCCCCTTTTCCATCAAAAGGAGCTAAGGGATAAGCATTCATAGTATCACACAGATAAGAGGCACAGAATCACACAGTCACACAGAATCACACAGAAAATTACAGAGTAGAGCAAAAAACAAGTCAGATTGCCCTCCCCTTTCCAGATTCCTGCGACACTAGGCGGTCCGGACAAGAAAGGGTGGATGAGAGCAATCCTTATCTACACTAAGTGCGGAAAAAAGCAAGTAGAAGAGAGGGAAAGATCAAGCAAGGTCAAGTAATGCCACACAGGGCCACATACTGCCACACAGGGCCACCACGCCACACAGGGCCAACTCAATAGCCACACAGGGCTCCCAATCTCCACAGGTCAAAACGAACAGGAAACGAAAATTAGGGTTTCAGAGGTGTTACCTTGACAAAACCAAGTTAGGTTTTGAAAATTACTCCGCTTTGAGTAGAGCTAAGCTATAGCCATAGCTCTGATACCACTGTAGGGTATCAAATCACCAAGCTCCATTCAAGCCTGCTATAGATATATATGAATCCCTCTTGGCAGTATTGATTACAGCCAAGAAGAATAGATATATGTATATATAGGTATGTATAAGATACAGAAACAGGAATGACAAGTATGAGTAAATTGAAAGATAAAAATAGATTGAGATTTTCAGCTCAGTCTTCCAATCTCACACCAGAGATTCACAGTTCCCAATTATACACCACCAGAGCACCTCAAGGAGAACAGATCTCCTTTCTCTCTCACAACACTCAAACCCTAAAATACCCAGAAAACCACGAAGGAAGAACAGATCAAGCACTCAAGCTAACCCACTCACCAAAACCCCAATTTCTGAACTCACAAAGAAGAAAAACGAAGGGATTTAGGTCTGACTAGGGTTTTCTCTGTCTTACCCTCTTCCAGCCTCCATGCCAACATATATAGGGACTGAAGTCAAAGATAGCCGGTGAAGGCTGTACCGGAGGGTCAAAGTCAGCACTGTACCGTGCACTTTGACCTCCAGCCATAACTCAGTCAAGGCAGTACAAGGGAGGAAGAAGACAGACGAAGGAGCGGCGGAGAAGAGAGGGTAAGAGTTAGGGTTTCAGAGTGAGAGAAACGAAGAGAGAGAAAATGCTATTTAAGTGAGTCAATGAACGGTCCAGATTGAGCCTAAAATCCAACGGATGGATTTGGTTCACAAATGGGTTGGGCTCACTCATAAATGCCTTGGGCTTAACTCAATGGTGGTGTATAAGTGATGGCAATTGGGCTTTATGGCCCAGAACATATTTGGGCCAAAATCCAACAATTCTCCACCTTGGACCAAATGTGAATCATTAGTGAAAATAAGTGTACAACGTGTGCACAACTACTTATTATATTTATATTTATATCAAAACAAGAGCATCTCCTCATTCAGTATATCTCCACTATATATGTCTTATATATATATATATATAATTAAAAGTATACAAATTACAAATAAAATACTAGAAATGGGTTGCCTTGACTCAAGAATAAATTGGTTATTATAAGCTTCCTCATATACATATTTAAATACATACGAAGCTAAAATTCAAAGTACAATTCATGGCTGGTTCTTTCATTTGTAACAATTATATTCTTAATTTTGTATGACAGAAACCTTTTTCATTTTCATTTTCTTTTCTTGTTTTAGTGTGTTGTAGGCGGCTTATAAACCTTTATTTGAATAAAATATTTAAAATTATAAACTTTAAATATTCATAATAATATAGAAATTGATTGGTCATGGATGAATAAAAGGGACGTCGCACTCCGCGAGTGATACACACGTAAGTCAACCGAGGGTTTTCACCTTTGACTAAATTTCACAGAGGGATTTTTGCTAGTTTATTTATCACATGGAGATTTTTGCTATTTGAAGATTAAACAGAGATATTTTGTGCACTTTAATCTTTATCTTTACAATAAAATGAACTTTGAGTATATTATTTCTCTCATCCATTAACACAATATTACAAATACGTTTCCACTTTGATGGAAATTTAAACACAAATAATTAAATTGAAGCTCGAATGAATCAGCAGATTAACAACATCGATCACGACAAAATAAAATAAAGAAAATTTGAAAAGAATACGATATGAATGATCATGAATATAATTATAAATGAATACTGAAAAATCAGTTGATGTGGCGGCAGTGTTCCCTGACCTCGCCCTGGACGCCGGTGAGCACATCAATATTTCCCATTTTGACCATGGCAGCAGCAAACTTGGTAGCCCACACACCACCAAACTGAATATTGTTGAGAACAATATTGGAAGTCAAAGGGCTTGTCATAAGATCCTGATCCGACGTAAAAAGCCCCTTTTTCTGCTTCAATCCCAAGTAGTATAAATTGTCCAAACGAATCGGAGTGATGGTATCCTGATTGACTGTGGGGTTCACTTTCGGTGGACCGGTCGCATTAGCAACAGGCGCAGGGCATATCTTTTTCAACTTAGCAGCGTACTTGGGGTCCAGAGTGGGGTCCACTGTCGGGTATAGACGTCCTAAGAAGGAAGTACAATGAGCAATTCCAATGGAGTGAGCCCCTGAAAGTGTAACCATTTCGTCGAGTGTGAGACCCTTTCTTGCAAAATTGTCCCTGAGTTGAGTTGCGTTGAAGAAGGGCGGGGGAAGATTTAGAAGTGGGTCGAGTGTGTTGGATACATTTCCATCACGGCGTCCAGCGGGTACTTCGTAGAATATGTTGCCAGCTTTCCAGGCGCTGTCTCTGGCTGAGAAGGCGAGAATGTCTGCACATGAAACAATTCCAGGGCATTTCACCTCAAGTTCTGCTTTTGCTGCGTCTATTATTTCGAACCCACGTAGGCTTCCCTTGTTTGGTATACTTTGCTTTTCCGAGTTTTTTCCATCCAACAACACAGAAGCATCACAACCCTATAGGTAAATTAATTAAAAACACACATATATATATATATATATATATATATATTTAGGAAACGAAAAGAAGATTGATATAATATCTAAAAAAAAATTAACGAGAATGTACATATATACATACCCTGACAAAGCAATCGTGGAAGTGCAGCCTGATAAGGCCAGCAGCAAAACCAGGGTTGAAAGTGACGAATTTGTTGACGTATTTTCGGACAATGATTTCTGCAAAGGGACAGGAGTTTTTGTAGAAGCCAACTGTGAGGGCGGCGGTTGAATTATCATCAGCGGCTGAAACAAACAATATGAAGCAAGAGAGAAGCAACCCAATAATTATGAGTGCATGGGAATTTCTAGCTGCCGCCATTGTATAGCTAGCTAGATTAATATATAAAAGAGAAAGTGTTGTTAATTGGAATTATGTGAGCGTGGATGCCATAGATGTATACTTTAGGGGTATTTATAGGCTGATGATTAATATTTGTTCTCGACCGTGGATTTGTTAAACCCAGGACGTGTGTACATGTTACCAACTCTCATTTACAACTTAACTTCATTATATGTATAAACTATTTTATACACTGCTCCATACCTAATTACACAATAATAATAATAATAATAATAATAATAATAATAATAATAATAATAATAATAATAATAATAATAATAATAATAATAATAATAATAATAATAATATGTTACGGTAGTATTGTGTGTAATTCCTTTTTTTTTTTTTTAAATGAAGGAATACACAGCCAACCATATAGGTGTATTGGGTAAATCTACACTCTAGCTCGTATTGTCTGTAATTCTCTTCCTACGGGTATTTAGGTAGAGCGTAGACGTGACAAAGGGTAGCCGGGTATGATCCGAGATCTACTTGTGGCACACAAGTTAGTTAACAATCCCCCTAATTTATTTATTTCAGTTTAACTTAACTTATACAATCATTTAAGATTTTGTGTGCTAAAAACGTACATCATACTAATTTTAATTACGCGGGAAATATTTTAGCACATGACTTGTTTACAATTCACTCAAAAATCAAAATATAATGTTAAACGATGAAAAATTAATTATTTAAAATTTGAAATATAACTTAAATTTGGATTCCATTTAAAGGAATCTTCGAAATTAACCATGTCAAACCTCTGAAACGGTCTAGTGGGGAATTGATCAATTGATACGTGGGTGGAAGAGATAAATTAAGAAAGATGTGAAAGTTGACATTTGTTCCCCCTAGGAATTGGTCAAAGCACAATTAAAATTTTATACATTGGGCAAGTTATATCATGAACCAATGTTAATTGTAATATACTATAGGACAAGCTAATTAAGATTTTGGAGCAAGTCAAAGGTGCTGCAAGGTTGTTAGTTAGGGCTAACATAAGCTATCGGTTTAAAGTACAAACCAGGGCATGCACAATTTAAGGACCCCGGCATCTTGATTAACTGATTAATTTTTAATTTTTATTTTAAAAAAAAGTTATCCCTTTTTTTGTTGTAAAATGGCCTATTTATCTAGCTCTTTGGTTTGTGTTTGTGGAAATACATAAGAATGTAAATAACAAGACAAAGAGAGAAAGAGAGAATGCAAATAAAAAAAATCCGTAGAGAGAAAATTGTGGGATACGTGGGGAGGGAGTGTTTCTCATTTATATAGGTGGTAGCCACCGGGAAGTTACAAAGGAGTTACATGTGGAAGTTACGTAGAAGTTACATCGCCACTAACACCATATATAGATATGGGAAGTTAATAAACTAGTGGGAAGTTGAAAACCATCAAGTGGTTATGTTAGGAAACCACACATTCCATACTATTTACAACACTCCCCCTTGGGTTCCTATCAATTTGTTATTATTTGTGTACTATAGCCCCCAAATTTTTATTTAGCCCCCATCCAAGTAGAGTCTGGGTCCGCCCCTGATTTTCACTAATAATGATGATGACAATCTTTTTTTATTTCCAAATTAATTTAGGTGGTGTTTGCAAAAACTTTTTGAAAGTGATTATGAGATTTTTCTTGCTCATCAACTTTTGTTTTTGCTTTTCTTAAAATAATCTGCTTTAAGCTATTTCTGTAAAAGCACCCATAACCCTGCCTTTTCTATTTAAGTTCATTTTCTGAAATATTTGCAAACACCCCCAACTTTTAAAATTAAACACTTAAATTAAAACTGACTTAATTCACAATCACTAACTTTTGCTTTTAAATAATCATTTACAGACACCACCTTAATTGTATATTCTTCGGTTTCCAACGAGTATTTTCACGGTTCTCTAAATTAAAACAAGCTGATCAGGTAAAATGAGGGTCTGACTAATTAACTGGTGTTCTGAGATCCTATATTTATACGTAGAACCACTATATTATTATATTGTCAATAATTATTAAATTTACGTCTGACTAATTAGTAATTTCCTGAAAATGAAATGGATATATATAACATACTGCAATCAATGTAAAATCATACTTAAGTTAACAACTCTTGAACTTATTCTTACATAACATCTTCCACTTTGATGGAAACAAAAAGAAATTAATTACCAGAACCTTAATTAATAAATCAAATAATCAACCTCAACGTACAATGAAAATGTAATGAAAAGTATAGTCACGCATGCAAGAACTCAATCTTATCACCATATGTATGATATTAATTAATTAATGAATAATCAGTTGACGAGGCGGCAGTTTTCTCGGATCTCGCCTTGCAGGGTGCCGGTGAGCACGTCAATCTTTCCCATTTTGACCATTGCAGCAGCAAACTTCTTAGCCCACGCAGGACTGTTTTGAGCATTTTTCAACACAATTTTGGAGGTCAAAGTGCTTGTCATAAGTACCTGATCCGACGTTAGAAGTCCCTTTTTCTGCTTCAACAGCTCGTAGTACAGATTGTCCAAACGTTTCGGGGTTATGGTATCCTGATTCACCGTAGGGTTCACACTTGGTGGACCTGTGGCATTAGCAACGGGGGCCGGGCAGATATTTCTCAAGAAAACGGCGTAGTTAGGGTCTAGAGTGGGGTCCACGGTCGGGTATAGACGTCCGTTGAAGGAGGTGCAGTGAGCAATTCCAATGGAGTGAGCCCCTGAGAGTGTAACCATCTCGTCGAGTGTGAGACCCTTTCTTGCAAAATTGTCCCTGAGTTGAGTGGCGTTGAAGAAAGGTGGGGGAAGATTGAGAAGTGGGTCCAATGTGTTGGACTCGTTTCCATCACGGCGTCCTGCGGGTACTTCGTAGAATATGTCACCAACTCTCCATGCGCTGTCTCTTGCGGCAAATGCGAGGATGTCGGCACATGAAACGATTCCAGGGCATCGAATCTCCAATTCAGCTTTTGCTGCGTCGATTATCTCGAAACCTCTTAAACTTCCCCGGTTTGGTATACTTTGTTTTTCCGAGTTTGCTCCATCCAACAACACAGAAGCATCACATCCCTGTAAAAGTAAAATGAGTATATATGTACGTAGAACAAAAGCAATTAATTATTAGCCGATATAGTAGTGTTAATACTCAATTAGGTCATCAACATGAATATATATATATAGCTAGTGGGGGTGTATGTATATATATACGATTACGATGATGACATGCATATTATATATAATAAATATGTACAATAACGAACGCTCATTACCCTGACGAAGCAGTCGTGGAAATGAAGCCTGATAAGGCCGGCGGCAAATCCAGGGTTGCGGAAGACGAATTTGTTGACGTATTTTTGGACAATGGCTTCTGCGGGTGGGCATGATTTTCTGTAGAAGCCCACTTTGAGGCCGGTGGTTGAATTAGCCGCAGAAGAAACCGAAACAAGCAAAACCAAGCAAGACAAGAACAATAATGCAATGACTGCCAATTTGGTGGAAGCCATTGTTGTATTAATGTTAAGTGCAAAGTTAAATTGGATGTGGATGCCATGGATGGATAATTTAGGGGATTATTTATAGAACGCTTTGTTCAGGTGGAATTGTTAAATATAGGACGTGTGTACATGTCACGAACTTGTAATTTAATAAAGTAATAAAATATTATTGATGATGAATTATTCATTTATACAGGATCTCCATTTTCCCTACCTAGAATATGCATGATAATTAATACATATTATATATGTATCACTAATACTAATTTGATATTCTCTTCAATTCGTAGTAAGGTAGGTAGACATGATCGATCATAAAGGAATATTCTTGTGATTAAGGTGTTGCTGGTTAATCCCGTTGAACTGTCAAAGATTATTAATCAACAAAATTAATTTTCACATGCACACAGTAAATTAAACCCTAATTTCAGAGATTCTAAGTGCAGTAATTGATTAGAAATAGAAAGATTAACGTGATTCTATTACAAATTTAAAATAGATCTACATCCCACATGAAATTTTATTGATCAATCGAACACAAATTTCTGAGTACAAGATCTCCACAAGGATTTACAAAGAATCACTCAAGAACAACTATTTTGAGTACAAGGTCTTTTTCACTTTTCTCTCAAATCTAGTTCTCACCTTTTGAATGTGTTTGTATGTGTTCTAACTAACTAACTAACTAACTAACTAACTCAGTTGAGCCATCGATACCTTTATACATGTGAAAGGATTATTTGCTCAACAAGTTTCAGCAATATTGTTCGTTTTTAGCTTCTGTCAACCTATGTTGCACGGACACTTTTAGAAGGTGATCAAGAGTCCAGTGTCGAGCAGTATCTGCAATTTTAAAAAAGTTGGGACACTTCTCTTACGTTTTAAGAGAGAGCCCTAATAAAAAAAAATGCGCATTTTCTTTTCTCTGTAATACACATTTCCTCTGTTTTCTTTGTGAGTCCACCCAAAACTTCAAAAGTCTAGCATGCGACGGCGACCACGAACACGAGCAACAAGGGCGAGCGGTTCTCTTATGCGATGACGACTTGTACATATTTTTTACAATTTATAAATGTACCCCTATATTTTTATTATTTATAAATATACCCCTATATTTTTTTATATTTATGCGTATCCCCACCTGTCTGTATCCTAGTTTTTTGGAAATGCCGTATCACCGTGTCCATATCCGCATATCGCCGTGTCCATGTATCCGTGTCCGTGCAGCATAATTGTCAACTCCTCCAACGATGAGTTGCCACCTCAACATCCATTTAGTTATCCATATATGCTCTATTTTGCTCGTTTAAATCAGCTTCAGACACCGTATGCCATGCATGTGACAACTCATCTTGCTCATCATCAAAGAATTGTCATCAAAGTTTATCAAATAGCAAATGGACTCAAAATTTTCAAATACATTTTACTGGCAAATAACTAAATGCACAAGAAACCTGATGGCCGGTGTTAATTGTTTAAACATTGACCACTGATCATAGG